TATTTCATGGGGATTTTCAATAGCCCAAACGTGAGAATTACGTGAATTAATAATTCCGTTTCTAGTAAAGAGGGCTTCATCACTCACTAAAATTTGATTTAAAAAATTGTCATCATTTTGATGTTTATTTAAAAGCCAATTGCAAAAGTCAACCCTTTGTTCATGATCTTCCGGTTGTAAGGCCTGCACTTTTTGTATGTGAAACGGATAGAACTGATTTTCACGTAGAGTTTTCCAAGTTTTATACTGACTAATCGCCAATTGAGTTGAAATTTGTCGGGTGCTTACTGTTGGATCATCACTTACTAATTTTAAAATTTGTTCTTCTAGTTCTATTTGATCGTGTGGTCTTGGAGCACCGGCATGATCTCCTCTGTGAGGTCTTAAGTCACCTGATTCACGAGCTCTTTGCACTACATTAACAAAGGCACGAGGGGTTGGTTGCACTCGATTGGGAAACCGATCCGCATAGATCCGTGATGCCGCGGCAGCATTTTGTAAAGACTCCCCGTAAATAAGAACCATGTCCACAAGTTCAGCATTTTCGTAAACATGTGCCATTTTTGATTTGAGCCTCGCAACAGACACGATTATTCACTTACGCGTTACCGACTACCGACTGATACTGACTGTATACAACTGAAGAAAATAATTGTAAAAAGATCGTTCCAAATTCTTTCGTTTTTTTGTTTCCGATGCGATGAACGGATAAGGCGGATTATATCTGTTGTTGCCAAACACGAGAACATAATATCATTATTGAGACAGGGCGGTACTCAAACTTCCAAAGGGCTATAACTTTGTTACTTTAATTTTACCAGAAAAATGGTAAAGGAAAAAAACATTTCTTTTGATCAGATCTACTCACTGTTAAAATAAATGACTCAACTTCGAAGTAACCCTGTATAGCATCGAGTTTGTTACAGCTCTTCTTCGTGCCTCCTTATCACGTCAAACGTCATCTTCTATTCCTGTTCTTTGTATATCTCGCTTGCTTTTCCTTTTCCTCTGCCTACTTATTTTCCTTCTGAAAGGCGGTTACAAATTAATATTTTTTTCTGTTATAGACTATCAGCCGTCCTGTTGACAGGACCGTACCGCCTTAATTTGCGTCACTAAATTTCTTCTGTTACTGATGTTTCGGTTCTTCACTTTATTCCATCGTTTCTGATTTTCTGTAGCCTCGCAGCCTCCCCAGCTTCTCGGGAAGAAATCTATTTATGTCGCCTCCACTCTCTGTCTGTCCCTTTTTGTTATTTCCCATACCTGTGATCCATATAATAGAATCCATTGCACAATTGCTTGGTATATTCTAAGTTTAATAGGTCCATATTTGACCATAATACTTACGTATATAGCATGGCTGGTTTCATAACTCTCTATGTGATGTTTCTTTCCTACTTGTTCCCACCTTTGATATCTTGACTGCTAGAGAAAGCTACTCTTTACATGTCTCTACTTATTTTCCATCAATATCTAAATCTTCTTAACCCGAATTTATCGCCATGTATTTAGTCTTTGATTGTTACGACTTTTTTCCGTTGTGAATTATAGTTGCATATACTTTGAAGTTGAGTCATTAATTTTCAGATAATGATTGTAGAAGGAAGATAAACCAAAATATGTATGTAAAAATAAAAAAAAAAATGTTACCTTGTTTTATAAAGTATCCTCCCGACAAGTATTTCAGTGCGGACCTGTATTTGATCGTGCGGTCTTGGAGCACCGGCATGCCCTCCCCTGTGAGGTCTTAAGTCACCTGATTCACGAGCCCTTTGTACTACATTAACAAAGACACGAGGGGTCGGTTGCACTCGATTGGGAAACCGATCCGCATAAATCCGTGATGCCGCGGCAGCATTTTGTAAAGACTCGTAAATAGGAATCATGTCCACAAGTTCAGCATTTTCGTAAACATGTGCCATTTTTTATTTCGTTTGAGCCACGCAACAAACACCACTATTCACTCACGCGTTACCGACTGACACATTGACTGAATACAACTGAATAAAATTGTAGTAAAAACATCGTGATAAGCGTTTCAAATTCTTTCGCTTTTTTGCTTCCGATGCGATGAACCGATAAGGCGGATTATATCCGTTGTTGCCAAACACGAGCACATAATATTATTATTGAGACAGGGCGGTACTCAAACTTCTAAAGGGCTATAACTTTGTTACTTTAATTTTACCAGAAAAATGTTAAAGGAAAAAAACGTTTCTTTTGATCAGATCTACTCACTGTTAAAATAAATGACTCAACTTCGAAGTCTTCGAACTTTACGAATTAGAAGGTGCTCTACTACTTACTCGTTTACTAGTTCATAAGATACGAAATAGATAGATAAGAATATGCGGATCTCATATCCTTGCTAAAATTTATTGTGTATAGGGCTATATACATTGTACATAGCATTTTATATTTATGCTTTCACCTGTTGATCCCTTCCTTCTGGTGATCAGCCTATAACTATGAAACTTGAAATAAGGCAGATATAAGTAGTGGATAATTGCTTCCCCCTATGCTTGTCAGCTTACTTATTATCTTTTCTTAATTAGCATCCCTGATAAGATAATTATAATAGCAGCTATTGTTTATAGCTACATAACCCCAATCAAAAAGGGGTTGAATTGTCGAAGGTCAAGACAATATCATTGTCACATTGTCAAAATTCAAGCATGGCGGTGTCACTAAAGTGACAGAGGCCAGGACGGAGGGAAAAGGAAAAAAGAGGTGTCCATTGTGAAGTTTTGATCAAGACCGGATGGTCAGCCGTAATTTAAGGATTCTAGTCAAAATTACCAATATATCGAAGAGTCCTTCCTTTAAGTGTGTGAAATCATATCACAGCCAAATGTGGGATTATTTATTTGGAGACTCCTCACTTACTTTGAAGGCCGCCCTAGACTATGAGGTAGATGTCTTACCTTTTTGTTGCTGCCTGCCAGCATATGCTCAGTTGCTTCGTTGATGCTACTGCTAACCTTTTGTCCACAGGCCTCAATTACCACCTTATGCCTTAAAGCCTTAACAGAACCTCGTATGCTGGACCTTGGATCTAACCCTAAAGCTTGTATCTCACATCGCTAAACGTCAATTCAGAAGGGAAACCATCAGGTGAAGGCCGGAAAACTGGTTGCTTTAGTCCAGAAGACCTCCCAAACCTGAACCAGCAGAGATACTGTAAAGACTATTTGGATGAAACCTTGGGTATACGGTGTAGGTATATTTACTGGTTAGATAGCGCTCTTACTATTAGTTTTTATGTGTAAAACAACCTCTATTCGTAGTAGGTATTAGGCCTTAATTATTTATTTATATTTCACAGACAATGATTTACCTCATCACGGTGTGAGAGAAGTAGGAGAGAACCTGGATAGTAACTGTTGCACATTTATTACTATTCGAACAGTCGTCAGTTCACCTTCATTGAGATTTTTGTGGGATATCTTGTTTTTGTTTTGATAATAAAACGCGGACGGTGACTGACAACTGACTTTTATTTTAAGTACTAGAACCAGTTCCATGGACCAGGTGGACGCAGAAGTAGCACCATCTTGTCCGAGATAACCACGGGACCAAGCGGCCATTTTCACTTTATTCCTTATTGCTTCCCTTCCAAATTTACCGAAGCCACGGGCTACACTTTTGTCTACAACTAGTACTGCAGGCAGGAGGTAACATGATCAGTAGATTTTAAGCCCTGCTTCACCATATGCCTCAGCTAACTTTCGCATCATGTATTCAACACCGGATGAGTCACTGGCAATAAGTACCTGATCCTCTGCGAAGAGTTGTGCATACAGGTAGCTACCACTCATGTCGAGACCCACACCAGCTCATTTATTCTGCCTTTTCATTTGCATAAGCTTTGTATAACTTTGGTGATAAGCAACTACCTTGTCTGAGACCTTTTGTTGGCTTTATTATCCCATATAGCTTCCCGTTCACGTTCACCCTCGTTTCTGGATCTCTATACAGCAACTTATGGCCGTACCATACTTTCCATTGGTGCTACTCTGGTCGAGTATTTCGCGAGACTTTTTGATTGAAACCGTGTCATATACTTTCTCTATGTCAATAAATATGTGTTTCTTGGTTGCGTATTCCCTTTTTCTCTATTATTACATTGGTACATCCTTTTCTAACCTCCCTTTAATAGTGCGTAGATACATTCTTCCAGTGAATATTGTTAGATCAGTGTTATCTTCCATTCCTGTGGTGGATCCTCCAAGATCAAAATATATTAGTTGTAAAGTACCTCTAGTATACCTAGAATAGTCTGGTGCATGTTTCAAGAACTTCACAGGAACACCTCCAGGACCAGGGGATCTTAAAATTTTCTAAATGGGCTATTTATATCTTCTACTGTTATTTCGACTTGTACGTTCATATCGTTATTTAAATCGGTTTCCTCCAATATATACTTTTGCCTTGTCTCTATAAACATATCTTCATAATATTGCTCCCATACATCCATGCTTATCATTTGGAAGAATGTATTATTTCTTAGAGTCAACCTGTTTGACATTATTTTGCTACAGGCGGAATTCTCTACTTTGACACACAAAAGATTTCCAGAATACACGCGTTCCGTCTGCTTCTTTGAACTAACTAAAGCAAAAATAAAATTCAGTTGGTCAATGGTCAATATAGGTATGCCATAAAGAAAAAGGATTAATCGCTGGCAGATACAACTACTTAAGTTGGCCTGAATAGTGGCACTCTAAAATATTAGCTTACCATTAGGCAACCCTCAGTTGCGCTGCTGTGTAGTTTAAACATGTTGTGCCCCGAATTTCTGGCTGATAGTGGATACAAGATGCAATTCCAAGTCGACGACCAACATAGAGCAGACAAGTCTACCGATAAATTAGCTTTAGAAATAGATGTCTGGCCTATTGTCTTCGATAATTTGTAGCTACGTATACACTATCCAGTAATTAATTGGTAGTAGCATAATGACTGGCTGGATGTTTGCCAAATTCCTTTAATTCCAGATGAGACGATACTGTTGGTGAAACGCGTTAGTGCAATGGAGTTCATAGTGGCTGCATCGGTCAACACTACTTATAAATCTGATGTTGATTTCAGTGATTTCCCTTAAAATAAATTATCAGAAACAACACGACTCACACATGTTCGTTTTACGATTTTTTTATGACCATATTCGAAATTAGCACGCAAAGTTGTCTAAACTGGCCGACAAACGCTGCCTTCATCTAACTACGCATTCCAGAACGAACCATGGAATCAAATTTGAGTGTAGTCACATTAGAGAGTAGGATAAGCAATTACTGTAGTGCTTATGTATCAAATATAGTTAATTGTTAGTCTTGGCATGCAGGAATTATGAACACTAGATTTTCATACTTGTGCGAAAACATATGAACAATAGTCAAAAATCTTCCAGGAACCATACTCTACAAAGTTTATTACCCTTGAGAATTCTATATATTTGGCTACAGCAGCGAGAATTCTGCAACAGAGGACTTCAAGGATTATAAAAAAGGGTTCTAACGGTTAGCGAGTCATACTTATTTTGACTTCTACCAGTGCGGTTGTGTCATGTAGATCATCTCTGCATTCCACGTATTTATATTTATACAATTTTTGATTCATATGGTATCATGTATCCAGTCAAGGGCGGATTTAGGATTTCGTCTAGGGGTGGGGCGCAAACGATATTTGGTAATTTTTCAACCTCAGTCGAACTTCTATAATTTATCCTATTATTGCTCCTTAAATCCATTGTCAATCTGGTCAATGCTAGCTTGAAAAAACCATGGAAAATGCTCAGTAATCCTTAGAAAGGAAATATTTTATTATATGAGAACAAAATAAGTACGTGTCATTTATAATTAACTAGTGTAATGATATCTATTAAAGATTAAAACATAAAAACTTCATTGCTCTCTTAACCGGAAAAAAAACATTCTGAGGGACCCGAGATATATCCCAGTCAATTCCACGCAAAACAATTTTTTTGATGGCGAAAACGATCCTGAGACTGAAAAATTCCCATTATCGTAAGGATGCTAGACGAGACAAAGGAGGACATCTATAGACGAACTATAGTCTGTCTTAAGACCGTCTCCAGACTGCCTATAGGCAAGTTGCGCAATGGGGTCTACTAGTTAGCTTAAGAATTAAGACTCTGAACTACCCATTAAAAAAATCAAGTAACTGGTGCAAATACTGACACAATCAAGCACTTCTGTTGTACCAGCAGGTGATAAAAGTATCAATAGGTATAGTCAAATATTCTTTGAAATTCCATGTAGATGTTACAGCTATTCTTTAGACCTTGGTTGTCGAACATAGATTTATGGCATAGTTGTTGTTTTCCTCAGTTTTCGAATCGGTGTTGATCGCATGTAGAAATGTTGTAAATCTTTGGAAAACAACTATATTTGTTAGATCGCAATTATTTTGATAATGTATCTTTGTACAGAACAAGTACAGGAATACAGGGGTGTACATATTCTCGTGTAGTGCAGAAGCTCTGTGATTTAAACGAATCCAATATAGCAACATAAATAGAAACTTACGCGGGATCATCGATCGACGCATTTTCTGGACAGGCCACAGGCGTACCGCTAAATAAATCTCATACATGTCTATTTCCAATTCAGGCGTTCATCTAACATATACCATACTCTAATCATATTAGCAAATTTGCCCGAAATAATTGTAAAGTCCGGATTTATTGGTGCTCCTTGTTCCAGGGGGTATTTTAAACATGGACGCATAAAATGGGTTCACCAACTTTTGTGGGAAAACTTTTTATTTGACAACAAAGAATGAGAGAACGTGTTTTTTGGGATTCAATTGAAAGTGTTGACAGCAACGGAAAAACTTTCTATATAAGATTTTTAGGTATCTATGAGACCTACAGAGGCAAAATGCAGGTTTTGGCACTTGTGGGTAATGCGACGATAATTTCCCGCAACTAGTTGAAATTCTTCAAATCTGTAGTATTTTTACTTCTAAATAGCAACAGCAAAATTGGAGTATTTTGGTCAAGTAGTTTTTTGAGAATTCCTAATTGTCTATCCCAAAACACCTGTTTGTCGATCATCACTACTAGTTTACTGAGCAATATACAGGGTTAGTTCAAAGAGCATTTAATAGAGAAGTACACGTGTTTACTTTACCGTTATGAATCACGAACCAATCCCAAAGATAAATGTTATTTTTACGCAAAAAAACAAAGGCTACGTTTCTTTTCTTCTAAGCAAACTCAAACATTTCGTATTTGTGAGTAATTGAACAAATGTGCTACGATATTCGGAACACATACGTTACTATACACATTTTAAAACAAAGCGGATGTGTCTGTCATCTTGTGTTGCGAATTACTCACAAATACGAAACGTTTGAATTTATGTAGGAGAAAAAACGTAACCCAACCTTTTTTGCATAAAATTAACATTTATCTTTTGGAATGGTTTGCGATTGATATCGGCAAGGTAAGGTAGTGTATTTTGCTATAAAATTCTCTTTGAACTAACCCTGTATGTTGCTCAATAAACTAGTCTTGATGGCCGGAAAACATGTATTTTGGGTTAAACAATTATTAGAAATTCTCAAAAACTACTTGACCAATCTACTCCAATTTTGTTGTGGTTATTTAGAAGTACGAATCCTGCGAATTTGAAAAATATCAAAACAAGTGCCAAAACCTGCAGTTTGCCTCGGTTTTCGGCCATAACTTTTTTGCTTTCAGTCGGACCTTTTTACAAAAATCTTATTTGAACAGTTTTTCGTTCCTGACAAGACTCGATTGAATTCTAAAAAACACGTTTTCCTAATTTTTTTGTTAAATAAAAAGTTTTTTATGCGTCCATGTTTTGAATACTCCCTTAAACAACTTGCAGCAATAAAACCAGACTTTACAGTTATTTCGCAAACTAGGGTTATTTTCATATAATAGACTAATAGTGCTTCGCTGCGACACCAACCCGAACAAAATCAGTCAAGCTTTACACACTTTTCAAATTACTATTGAGCAACAAACAGAACATAAATCACATTTTGTAAGCTAATGTATTGCTCAGACTTAGATTGGTCACAAGTCACAATACTCGAATACAGGTATAAATCGTTAGAATTGTGTTGTCGCTGTCCCCATGATGTGCCAGAAAGCCCTCCGCGCCCCCCCTGTAAATCCGCCAATGTAACGGGTACAGACTTATACAGTTATAGACTTCTTTTACTAGTTTTCCCTTTTCTAAATAATAGTTTAGGTCACCGATAATCTCTTGCGCTTGTAATCAACTTCTTAATTGATGATAATAATGTGTGGCCATGTGCTTTCTTTAATATTGCTCCATACCTTCATAACAGTATCTGGAATCAGTACTGAGTGCGATTGTTTCAGGTAATCATAGTTAATCCTTATAATAATTCAAGAAATATATTTAAAAAAATGGTTGTTTTCTTTGTCCCCCATCTAATGTTGGCTAAAGCCGCGTACAGACCGAAAGTCCGAGCAAACGAATTCAACTACATGTGACATTGGTGATTGTTGTTGGAAGGTATTGGAATGCGTTCACCTACACGACGTCTACACCTAAATTTAGTTTCGAGTGCGAGATATTTTAAATTTCTTTGATATTCAAAAGAAAAAGAAGAAACGGCCTAGACGTTGGTTGGTAACAACATCATTTAAAAATAGGGCCTTGTATAGTGGCAGTCGCTTACTAGAGGAACTTCAAAGTGAAGATAATGGACATTTTAAAAATCCCTGAAGGATGATCCCAGAAATTTTTAATACATTATTTCTTCTTGTGAAATTAAAAACTGAACGGTAGAATACAAACTATGGAAGTGTTATTTCAGCTAAAGAGAGGTTCGCTGTTACACTGCATATTTGGTAGCTAGAAATTCTTATTCAAGCCTAGCGTTTACATTCCGAATGTCAAAGCAGCCTATATCAAGTATAAAACCTGAAGTGTATATAGCTATAATTGAAGAACTACAAGAATATATAAAGGCAAGTTTTATTAGTTTAATTCTTTCCAAACACATTAGTTATATGACTGGGAAACATACTGAACACCACCTGTTCCGCTCTCATTTGGATGGTTAATGATGGGAAATAGTGCTGATAAGGATGTTGAATCAATCGATGTTGTCACAGAATGTGTAGCTTTACAACAGCACGGGTATGGTCGTCAAATTCTTCAAGCGACTGCCGTCATATTCTCCATATAACGTACATTCGTTTTGTCATTCTTCCTTTTTTTTCACCAACATTTTGTATCACAGCAAAAGCTGCTTCAAGGCAGGGGTCGTCCGTTTCACGTCTTTTAACTGATACTTTGTTGAACAAAACAGAAGGTTCAGACTTGCGGTGCTAACTTGCTGGTCATCTTCGTTTTCCTGCCTCCAATAAGTGAAAGTAATATTAGTTTACTTCCACCCTCATTCAAATAAATAGCTGGCAAACACATACCGTTACAAGGCCCAATTAAAGTAACAGCAATTTTTTTGATTATGAATCAACATTCAGCATTGTTCTGCTTGCCCTTGTAGATGCTGACTATAATTTTGTATATACGAGCGTTGCATGTCAGGGAAGAATTTCGAACAGGGGTGTTTTCAGAAATACATCTCTATTCAAACAACTTGAGCTACATGCTTTGAATTTACTAAATCCAGACTGATATGGGAAGAAATAAGCCAGTTCCGTACGGTTTTGTTGCGGATGATACGTTCCCTTTAAAGAATAATATTATGAAACCTTATCCGGGATCACATGGAAAAGGGTTTGTTGAATGCGTTTTTAATTAGAGATTACCGAGAACAAGAAGGATGGTTGAGAATGTGTTTGGAATTTTCTCCGCAGTCTTCATAGTACTAAGAAAATTATTGCTTTTAGAGCCAGAAAAAGCAGATATTGTTGTAATGACATGCATTCATTTGCAAAATTTTCTTAGAAAGTCTTCCAAACATGTTTACACACCGTATGGAACTTTTGACATTAAAGTAAACGGACAACTATTGGAAGGATCCTGGAGGCATCAATTGGGTGACAGCACCTTTGCCTCAATATCTAAAGTGGCTAGAAAATCTGATACAAGTGCAAAAGAAATTCGAAAGGAGTTTATACAGTACTTCACGCTTGATGGACGTGTATCCTGGCCAGATGACTATGCTTATTTTTTTTCATTTTAGTATCTAAGTGTTAAATGCGACATGGAAATACCTACTTATATTAAAATGTCGAAACA